TATAGTGTATAATATTATATAAATACTATTTTTAAATACTAGTTTAGTTATAGTATTCAAATAAATATAAGACTGTATAAATTGTTATCGTTTGAATTTTGTATTAAAATGTTATTTTATTTCATAGGTATTGCATTTACCGGATTGCAAAATACAATTCTTTATCCTATGGTTTGTTCAACATCTGCTAACAGTAAAGTTATAATAACGCATTGTTCTTCAGTACCTGCGTCTTTACAAATGGAATGTTTATCCATATTACAACCTATACAGAAATTATATCTTTCTTACGCTTTTCCTGGATTAAGATATTTATTGAATAGTATCTTCGTTGAAATCTTGCATAAACGATACGGTAAATTAGAATTTTGTCTAATAATGCATAAATATATGCAGGGTGTTTGATACACCCACTGTATAAACAGGATGATAAGAAAAAATAATAGAGCAAGAGCCCACAACGGTCAGATCTTCGTTATTTTATAAAAGCTGAAAGTTTTTCTATGTATGTCCCCTATACAGGTAAAAACGACCAGCGACTATAGAGTTTGGGTTGTGGTTACTTGGGCAGGTAACAGGTAGTAAAGGTGTATAAAATAGTAGCTTAAATTCAGTATAAAGCTCAATTTTTTTATCTTTTCTTCGGGATAACTTTAGAAATCTCGTCATCTTTATAGACTTTAACCCTTTCGCTATGGGCGTATTTTCCACGGTGCTACTTTTACTGTACGGGCTGCTAATACATGCAGCATCGAAATTGCACTGTATTTTTAAGTAATTTTGTTGTTGATATTAATGATTTTTAATCAAAAGAAACAAAACACTAAAATTACATGTCCAGTGTGGGATATTTGACGTGCTATAACTGCATATGTACGTCGTATGTAAAATACGCGGTATTTTATGGAAGGCCACTATAGTGGTCCGTAATAGCGAAAAGGTTAATAAATTATAATTATACTTTCGTTATAGTATAAAAGAGACCAGGTAGATTGCTTTACCGGTATCTTCATTGAGATACCCAGCATGCAGTTTAGGGGTGTTTGGCAGGGGATAGCAACTGTCATAAGTGTCCAGCAATGGATGACGAGATTTCTAAAGTTATCCCGAAGAAAATATTAAAAAATTGAGCTTTATACTTTAACGAATTTAAGGTACTATTTTATACACCTTTACTACCTGTAGTAAAGGTGCATAAAATGTCCTGGAGCAATGCTGGCCCTGTCTCTGAGAGATAAGGTTCCCAACACAACCATAAGAGGAGAGAAGTGGAGTTACCGACGTCATAGAGAGGATTGCCAACCTTAAATGGAACTGGGCCGGACACCTGGCCAGGGTCAGTGATGATAGGTGGACGAGAAAGGTGACAGAGTGGAGACCTCGAGCTGATGCATTTCGCAACAGAGGAAGACCACCCACTCGATGGTTGGACGATATAAAACGTATCCATTCCAACTGGATGAATGCAGCTCAGGACAGAAGGAGATGGAAACTATTACGGGAGGCTTACATCCAGCAGTGGATGAGGATAACTGACTGATGATTATGATGACTACCTATTACCTGCCCAAGTAACCACAACCTAAACTCTGTAATCGCTGGTCGTTCTTACCTGTATAGGGGACATGCACAGAAAAACTTTCAGCTTTTATAAAATAACAAAAGTCTGGCCGTCATGGGCTCTTGGGCTATAATTAATATATATATTTAAATATTATATTATTCAACAAAAGTAATACAAAATATTTAATTAACATTAATCAATTAATATAATAAAAGTTAATTTACATTGTAAAATACTTCATTCTTTTTTCTATCATCTTGTATATATATATATATATATAAATATAATGAAATATTAGAAAAAGCAGGAATATTATTTTTGTAATTATTATTTTTCAGGTGATCATAATGATGATGACGATGACGATAGTAGTAGTAGTGATGAACTTTTTGAATATTTACCCGAATTTAAGTCAACATGTCAATTGAGTCAATCAATCTGATAAAAAATAAAATTTAAATAAAACAAGATGTATAAAAGGATGAACAGGAATTTACAAATGATTTTATATTATTTATAAATGACACAATTCGTAAAATCATTTAGTATTTGTAAACAAGCTTTAATGCTGATCTTTGTGCATTTACGTTTTTATTAAAAGACAGTAAATATAATACTTAAAAATGATTTTAAAATAATAGACTGCCAAACATATATATATATATATATATATATATATATATAT